TCTCTCTCTCTCTCTCTCTCTCTCTCTCTCTCTCTCTCTCTCTGTGTGTGTGTGTGTGTGTGTGTGTGTGTGTGTGTGTGTGTGTGTGCGCGCGCCTTACCTGAAGGTCCTGTTTGCGGGAGGACTGGAGGTACCTGTTCGGGCCATATACTTTTTTTTGGGGGGGGGGCCGTTTTCGGAAGTTGATACCCTATATCCGTAGTATAACGCACGTGTATACAACGCACTCCGTGCGTTCTATTCGTAAATAACGCACATTCGTTTCGTTCTAGGGAAGACTGTAGGAGGGCAGTACCAAGATGGGGTTGTGGGCTCCTCCGGGGGCCAAGGTCCACTAGCATCGTTGAATTTCCTCAACGCCCGAATCTGGACGTGTTGTGGACATATGCGGGTTTGAGGGGCCCGGTAAGAGTGCCAAGTTCTCCACTGGAACTTCAGGTTCCGCTGCCCCGGGTTAGGGGCAGTGCTGGATTTAGCTTTAGTCTGCAGCTGTTGTTTTCACTGATGGGTTGACGTTGTTTCTCATATTTCTGTGAAACAGAGGGTTGGTGCCTGGCTCAGGTGGTAAGGTACGCAAGCGACATTCAGGAGGTCATGGGTTCATGTACCTACCCCGCGCATACTTGGTGCCTGCCGTCTAGAGGTAGGCCATTGTGCCCCCCCATTGGCATTAAACCACCGGTACTTCCCGAAGTCGCCGCGTGCATGTAGCCAGCCATTGTTACAGTGCCGTGACGTTTCCACTTGAATGAATTTATTCCAGCGCCCCAGGCCCGCTCATCCCAACAGGTGGCAATGCATGTGGCCGCAACCTTTCGGAAGTTTACGCACTGCTGATGTTCGTAGGAGGGAGGCACAGCGACTGCCCAATGCTCTGTCCTGATGCTACCGCCTACCCCTGGCCGGTATCACCCACCTACGGGTTGGCTACAGTCACCACATGTTATCTCAGGAACGCGGAAACGGCTGCTACGGGGTTCCTCGTAAGACTATAATAATAATAATAATGATAATAATAATTGCCAGAGGGCCACCCTGTCAGACTTTTTTTTTGTTTTCATTTTAACCTCTCTCGTCGACCAACCACCCAGAGGGTGATAAGAGCACCCTCTAGTTTGGAGGCCGCCATTAGGTGGCTCCGATCTATTTGTGGGGAGCTGCACGTGCTGGAAACCGGGTACAGTGTCCCTGTAAGAAGAACAAGGAAATTAAACAAAACAGAAAAGAATAACAAGGAAATTTGTAAGAGAAGAGCAGCATTGATTGCCCTCTTGCGAGGGGATTAACACAATTTAACAGCCATTCAAGACCACAGTACGGGCTCACCTCCTATCCCTAACCTTCTGTGATGATCAGGTTCAAACCCCGCCCCCGCCACAT